ATTAATATATTTTTGGCGAGTAGGGTGGGTGGTCTGTCAGAACAATATATCTTCGAATCTGCTATGTGCATATTTGTCTATTATTTTGTTTCTGTGATATATGAAGGTACTTCAAAAAGCTTGTGAAAAAATGGAATTAAAAGATAATATGAATCTTTCCATGAACTTTTTGAAGTACCCTTGTACAAACACACACACACACACACACACAAGTATTTTTGTTTTCCAGTAGTCTTATTGCTGTTTTACTTCCCTAGTTTTATGATTTCTCTAGAATTTCATTGTTGGCTTAAATATTTTTAGAGGATTATTAGAGGTGCATGAAGGTTAGAGATTTGGGTAGTAGTTAATGAACAAATGCCAGGGGCAAAATTATGAGAAGGAAAAGTTTAATTCTAAAATTAGTGTTTTAGTGTAGGGAGACACTACTTATAGCTCTAGAATTTTTTTTTTAATCCTTTGTCTACTTTTCTATTTAGAGGTTTGTTTTCTTACTGACTTTTAAGAATCCTTTTTTCTGTTAAGGAAATTAGCTCATATATTTCCTCTTATTGCTGCTTGGCTTTTGATTTTGATGTTTTGGTGTTTAAAAACATATAAAGTTAAGAAAAATTATATCTAAATATGTTAGTATTCTTCTTATAGCTACCAGGTTTTATGCTTAAGGTTTTCACGCTCCAACATTAATATTCCATCATATTTTCTTATTTTTTGATGTAAATTTTAGTGTTTGGGTATTTGTATTTGGTATATGTGGGTTTCATTTAAATAGTATTTACTGTGCTAATGTATTTTGTGCTATGAAATAAATGGTACATATAAGCTTAGTAGGAATTAAAAATATGGAAAAAATATCCTGCAGTAAGTCTGGTGTGATTTTTGGAAACAGTGTAAGGTATGAGTAAGAAAATCCCAGTGTAGAGAAACTACTAGAACATAGCATAAAGGAGGATGAAAAGGAGGTGATGATGATCTTTGCAAGTGAGCACAAGGTTTCAGAGTAAGCTGGAGTAGGAAAGGCTTGAATACCTAGCTGGGAAGTTTAAATTATTTTTGATAAACAGTAATAATAATTAACAGCTTTATAGCCTGGTTTGTAATTTACAAAGGACTTTACACACACACACACACACACACACAAAACAAAAATTTATAAATTTTTGTTTGCTTGTTTTTAAGCTTCAGAAAGGCCAGGTGATCTAGAAGTTATTACATTTTATTAGTGGTATTAAAGATAAACTTAGGCACTTTAAAATTTTAAGGAGTTTATTTGAACAGACAGTGATTCATGAATCCAACAGCTCCAGGCCACAGGGGGGATGAGGGGGAAGTTCAAAGTAGCAAACAAAGAAAATTGATTGGTTATAGATTAGTTGGCAGTTTCTTTCTTTCTTTTTTTTTTTTAAAGATGTCTGGTAAGGGGATCTTAACCCTTGATGTTGTCAGCACCACGCTCTTCCAAGTGAGCTAACTGGCCATACCTATATAGGGATCCAAACCTGTGGCCTTGGCGTTATCAGTACCATATTCTCCCAAGTGAGCCACGGGCTGGCCCCTTAGTTGGCAGTTTCTGATTGGTTAATTTACTCTGAATTGGGATTTGGTTTGCTTAGGTAGGAACCTACAACGCTGGAGCCAGGGCTGCCTCAGCTTAATGGCCTACCAATTAATTTTTTTTAACCTTTATAATATTTACACAGGAATGATTTTTTTTAAAAAGTTTCAATTTTATTAAGCAGAGGAATGAGCTATTGAATCATTTCAAAGAAATAGCCTTACAGACATTTATAGTATGTATAGTATGAAAAGGTATGATCTACTTAGGGATAGAAGATAAGGAGGAATCATTGTTTTCAACCTAAATTCCAGGAAAATGGTAAAATTACTCATCCATAAATGTAAATGCTAAGGACCTGAAGCGAGATCTTAAGGAAATAAAAAGCAGCCTTGTTTTGGATGTATTTTGGACACATGTAAGTGGAAAAGTTTTGTAGGTTGCTAACAGTTATATTTTGAGCTGTAAAATATAGAGATTATTTTCTTTTTTTTTTTTTTCCTTTTTGTCTTTTTTCGTGTCCGGCAACGGATTGCAACC